AAGCTTAAACCTCTACACCGAAACTCCCAAACCCTAACTCCTTAAACCTTCAAGCCCTAAACCCTACATACCTAAACCCTAAACCCTAAACCCTAAGCCCTAAACCCTAAGCTCTAAGCCCTAAGCCCTACATACCTAGACCCCAGCCGAGGCACCCATATCCTCCTTCTCAGCTGCGTGGGAAAGCGGTGGTGAGTGAGCCAGGCCTCCGCGCCAAGGGCTTCTTCTGGCTTGCTACTGTTGATGCACAAAATTCTGCATGACCCAAATATNNATATAATACCATAAATCCCATAGTTTCGGTATATAAGGTCATGCAGGAATCTGTCCATCAACCGTACGAGTTCCAATGTACTGTTCTTTTGCTTCGGTTAGTCATGATTATTCTTCTTGTTATTATTATTGTTGTTATTGTTATTACGGTTATTATTACTATTATTATTATTGTTATTATCATTGTTATTATTAGTATTTATCAAGGGTTTACGGGCTTGGTATCTTCATAGTCTCATTGTTGTTACGAGTACTGCTACTTTGACCATGGTTGTCATCGTCGTTGGTTTTATTGACTACTTCTGACTTTGGAGCTGCTTTTTCAGGGACTTCGGTTGCTACGGCTTCATGGGAGTTTCCGAAAAAAAGGGATACCTTATTTGGGGCTCCTTGTAGTAAGGATCCTACTATTTAGGGTGCTATATGAGGGTCCTCTATTTTCGGAAACTCCCTCATGAAGCCCTAAACCCTAAACCCTAAACCCCTCATGAAGGCCTTATAAGGTTTTCCTCGCCTCGGGTTTGAAGCTGCCTGGCTTTGCAAGGCTTGTTTCGGGATGTGTGGGGAACCCCCAGGCCGCCATCAAAGTAGTACATAGAGGGTTTAGGGTTTAGGGTTTAGAGTTTAGGGTTTAGGCAAGCCTCAAACATCAGTTAGACCTCATCCCCAGTACACCATTGTACCACTATAGCAGGCTAGAACTAATCTCTCAGCTTGCGCACAAAAGCAACAACAGCCTCCTGCAACCAAGTTGTAACCCCAGAAACCCCTAAAGCCCCCTCAACCCCTGCACCCGAACCCCCCCTAGACCCTTTTTTGAACGAGGTCTCTCTGAAGTGCCTCCCACTAAACCCTAAACCCTAAACCGAGTTCCGGGTCTTGAACCTCGAAGCCTCCGAACCTTGCAAAGGTGAGCCGTAGGCTCCAAACCGTAAGCCACTTGGAGGGTCATGGGACTTAGTAAGTAAGGTTATAAGTCCCCAATTGGGGTTATAAGTATAGTTACCTTAATTATAACCCTACTTACTAAGTCCCATGATCCTTTAAGTAAGCCAGATACTCCCGAAGTCGTCCTAAGCCCTTGGGCCCTAAGCCCCTTAACACAAACCCCCCAACGGTTGCAAATGATCCCCTGATTTCCTAAACCCAAACCAAAAACTCCTTAAACCCGAAAGCCCTGCCCTAAACCCTAAACCCTAAACCCTAAACCCTAAACCCCTAAACCCCTAAACCCCTAAACCCCTAAACCCAAGCCAAAAACTCCTTAAACCCTAAAGCCCTGCTTCTAACCCTAAACCCTACAGGAAACCCTGAGAGCGCCCTACAACCACGAAGCTTGGGTAGCGGAGACGGCTCCTTGCAAGGGTTTTTTTTCTAAAGGCTTCTATAAGGGCTACTATGAGGGTTCGGGGTATAGGGGCCTTAATAATTTCAATATATTCTAATTATTAAGGCCCCTATACCCTAAACCCTCATAGTAGCCCTTATAGAACCCTTTAGGGTTTTGAGGCCCAATATATACTCTGTTTGAAATAAGGAACCTCGATAAGCTCCAACCGCTCCTTCTGAGCTCGCCAGTTCACCTGAGAGCTTTGAGGCTTGGGGTTCAGGGGTTTAGGGTGTTTAGGGTTTAGGGTCTAGAGGGTTTTTAGGGTTTTTAGGGCTTTTAGGGTTTAGGGTTTAGGGTTTGAGGGCTAGGATTTAAGGGGTTAAGGCTGAAGGTGCGGAGTTAGGATTTCGGGCGCAGTGTCTGGGGTATACACGGTTTCGGATCGAAGGTGCATGTGAACAGGATGCGGGGTCTATAGGGATTACGTAGGGTTTCGGAGTGTTAGAGGAGGAATGTTTAGAGTGTGAGTATGAGTGGTGTTTGGGCTTGAGAAGGGACCAGGACACGGGCTCAAGGCGAGAATAGTGCCTAGGGCCAGGGGAAAGAGTTTGAAGCCCTACACGCAGGGCTGTAGCAGGGTGCAGGGTGGCCGAGATCTTCAGCATGAAGCTGTGGGCGGGCGTTTGGGGCTGTAGGGCCAAGGGCTCAAACTTCACTGCTTGTTTGCGTTCATCTCGTGCAAAACCCTAAACCCTAAACCCTAGAAACCCTAAACCCAAAACCCCAAAACCCTAAACCCTACACCCTAGAGCCCAAACCCAACACCCTAAACCCTGAGAGTTTGGCCATAAGGAGCACACCATGAGATGTTCATGTTCAGGTCTTCATTCCGGGTTTCGGAGGTCCGAAACTTCCTCCATACCGACCCCCAGGGCCTCTACTTTGGCTTCTGGGGTGTTTAGGGTTTAGGGGTAAGGGTTTAGGGTTTAGGGTTTAGGGTTTAGGGTTTAGGGGTAAGGGTTTAGGGTTTAGGGGTGGTGGACTCCCTAAACACTATAAACTCCCCACGATTTTTTGTTCATAGCCGGACCTTTTTCCCGTGGAGTAGGGGCCTTAATAATTAGAATAGGGTTTTGTGGTATATTATACTGCCCCCCCCCAAAAAAAAAGTATAGGTAATTTTAGGCCCCTAGATTAAGCCGAAGCCCTCAACCCTTTAAGCCCTGATGGGGCAAAAAGGGGTGGAAAACTAGCGACAACTTGTCGGTTGCAGAAGAAAGCCGCCTGAATACGTGGCAATACTTGCCTTCAGGGTTCTTTAGTATTTCAATGCAACCCCACCGAATCTCAATCTAAAAGTCGCTAGATCTGGGTCTCTATATTATTGGCCTTCCCCTCTGCACCTGCTTAGGGGATCCCTAAGCCGTCGTCCTAAGCCTTAGTCTTAAGCACTGGACCTGAACTGAAGGTGTACTGCCCGGATTCGAAGGGCTTGGGGCTGAGGGATAAATTCAAGTACCCGAACCGTCAGCGTTGTCTCTCAACAGCCGTTGTGACAGACACAGGCGCACCACATGCTCAAGCAACAACGCCACAGCTAAGCGGCGTCATTACTCGCAAGGATCACCGAGATGTTGCCCACGACATACCCATAGAAAGCACCGCCCACGATCATCGCCAGCATCGTGAAGATCCTGATGCGCGCGATTTGTTGCATCATGCGCATAGGCTGAGAGCTTGGCGGATTGGCTATCAGAATTTCATAAATGCCCCTGAACCCTGACCCTATACTAAGTCTTGCTCAAAGTTTTCGTACCGCAGGCGAAACAGCTGCATCTTTTTTCGCATGCTGAAGACCATGCTGCATGCTGGTCCTAGCAGCCCGAGCATTGGTCTCCTAAACCCTAAAGCCCTGAACCCTAAACCGTCGGACCCCCAAAGCCCTATTCTGAGTAGCAAGGCTGCGTGCCTTGTTGCGATGTCAGGTGTGATCGAGTCATGTCTTTTCGATGCATCAATCATATGGTTAGGGATCATAGCGTTTAGGGCTCAGGGTGGTTATCATGTTGCAGCAGCTAGCTTGTTCTCATGGAGCCTGCCATACCATGATTTCACACCATCTTGCAAATGTGGCATGACCTGAACTCGAAACCGAAAGCCTCATCTAAATCCCACGCCCCAAGCCGCCAAGGCCTAAACCCAGACTGTTTACCCTTTTTTTGAGCAGGGACGGCAATGCATTAAGCCCTGAATCCCTACTTGGCAGGTTGGGAAGCGCCATGGTCCATCCCGCGATCGCACAAAGGTTGGCCATGGAACCTTTCGTCATCGTTCGTCGGGATGATATCACCATACCCCACCTTAGTACTTGGAGGGTCATGGGACTTTGCAAGTAAGGTTATAAGTCCCCTAATTGGGGTTATATAATAATTACCTTAATTATAACCCTACTTACTAAGTCCCATGATCCTTTAAGTAGGCGTCAGGGTTTAGGGGTTTGCACGCTCACTCAAGGCCGGCACGGATCTAGGGGTAGGTTTCGGGGCCCTTTCTGGGGCTCGGGGTCTAGGCGTAGAGGGTCCCCAGTTTTAGCGGTCTAGGCGCTTAGCGGTTTTAGGGGTTTGGGATGAGGTTTTCGAGTGCCGCACCTTGGTAGCATGCCGCCGTGCTTCTCACACGGCTTCTTGTGTTTGGCTAGTTGCAAGGCGAAGTTCTGGATCGGGAGTGGAACTGCTGATTGTCGGAGAGTGAGAATCTTTTCGGCAGAATCGTTTCGAGAAGGGCATCACTTTGAGTGCAGGCTTCGGCCGTTCTGAAGAAAGGAATTCGAGTCATGCCGCTGGGACGAATAACGAACCTCCTGGTCATAGACAAACCCTCTGCGGCTCTCGTCTGCATTGCAGAGCCTAAGCAACGAGATGATGCACCGGACGACCGCAAACATGGAAACCGTCAAAGCGAGATGTTGCGAGCAGAATGACCAATAGCATCATGAAGGGTGCAAGCGGGCTTGAAAAATGAAGACTAGAAGTCACATTACATCGGCAAGATTCTATAGCTTCTGATGCGGTTAGAAAAAGCTACGGCTACTCCTTCTTCTCGTGCTGCTGCCTATACTAGTACTACGAAGACCATCACTACAACTACTACAACCTCCAACTACTACTCCTGCTGCTGCTGCCGCCCTGAGACCGACGACGACCACGACTCCTACCACGACCATCTAGGTCTATCGAAATTGCCGCACCGTATTTAAACCCTTTTTGCATCTGGTTTGCAGCGACTCAACCAGGACCCCTAAAACCCCTAACCCTAAAACCCCGAAGCCCTCATCCCAAAGCCCCTAAACCCTAAACCCTAAACCCTCAACCCTAAATCCCAAAGCATGCCTTTTCTGTCAGCCTTCTGGCAGGGTCGGCTCTCCACCCGCCGCACGCCGCAGAAGCAGTGCACGGAGCTCGCCAACGCAGCCACTGAGATGCCTTCCCAAGAAGGTTTCAGATATACCTTAAGAACCCAAAACCCACTTTTTTGTAGGTTCTAATTATAAGCCCTAATATGGGATTTATAGGGACCCTACAAAAAAGTAGGTTTTGGGTTCTTAAGGTAGGGTTTAGGGTTTAGTGTTCTGTGTTTAAGCTAGTATGGAGGTAGGGCATACTTCCGTAGTGGTAGTATATGCGGACACACTCTGGGTTGGTGTTGAGTTTTAAGATTCTACCTCTGCGTGGATGAAGGGTCTGGTTTCCGGGTAGACCGCAAAGCCTGTAACCTCAGATAACCCTTACACAGTGAACCCAAAGCGTTGCAGCATGAATCAACAAAAATCGCAGTTCAGCGACCTTCCACGCAGCTAGAGAACCCGTTGTAAACATCCCGAACCCTTGAACCTCTCCAAGGCATGGAAGCCTTTGCGACATGGGGAGCACCCAACCCTAAACCCTAAACCCTAAAGAGGAGCAAATGCCAAGATGCTGCTTCCGGCTGGCCAGCTCGCGCACGAGGGTGGCGAGGCTTTGCGAGGCTTGGTCTACCAACCTCGGCCACAAGCCACAAGAGAGAAAGGGTTTATAGGGTTTATAGGGCTTATAGGGCTTGCAGGGTTTATAGGGTTTGTAGGGTTTATAGGGCTTAAGGGCTTGAGGGCATGATTAGGGTTTAGGGTGTAGGGCTTAGGATGTTTTTAGGCTTCAGTGTTGTGGGAGAGCCGGGCCGCTGTGAGAAGTCCTGCGCCCAAACGATGGCCTGGTCTGGCAGCGTCACTGCAGCGTCCTCCGCAAAACTGTGCGGAGATTAGGGGTTGAGGCGACTCAAACATTTCTTATAAGTCAGTGTCCCTTTTGAACCCAGGCTTAAACCCTGCATCAGGGTCAGGGTCCCTACTACGGATGTCGACTCGGAGTATGCAAAGAACTCTCAGGTTCTCCATCTGCCCCTGGCTCAACCGAAGCCACCAACCCCTAACCCACCCTCAATCTTGAGTAAGCCCAGATCCTAGAAGCCTACAGTCCTCTGCCAGAAGCGGGAGAAAAGTGGCAGGCCTTGTCGCATTACCTCGAATTTGAGAGTCCTTTGGGCTTGGGGGCTCTAGCCTTTTTTGGCTCGTTTTCGGGTGAGGTGTTTGGGGCTGCTTGGACTGGAGAAACAACGTAAAACCCCTAAGACCCCGAACCCTGAACACTAGGCCCCCCTTGAAAATCCTTAAACCCTCAAGCCCTTAAAGGAGCCTTTTCTTGAATAGGAACCTTTAAAAAAGAATCCTTCCCTAAACCCTAAACCCTTTTTGCAACGGCCTTGTCACAAGCCCTAAGCCCTAAACCCTAAACCCGACAAACCTTAGAGTCTCGGAAAAGGCTTCAGGAAGTGGGACCTGAGTTGCTCAGCTCGAGGCGGCAAAGGGGTTCGTACTCCGTGGCCACCAGCTCCAGCCGGCAATGCATCTTCCTGGTTGAGGGTTTTTCTGGTATAGGGTTTAGGGGGTTTCTGGCTTAGGGTTTTTCTGGTTAAGGGTTTTGGGGTTTAGGGTTTTTTCGGTTTAGGTTTAGGGTTTAGGGTTTAGGGCTGAGGGCTTGGGGTTCAGGTTTAGGGTTCGTTGGGGTTTAGAGAGGGTCTCATGAGGATGGAGGGTTTATAAGGATTTGACAGCGTTTTATGGACGGATCTAGATAGGGTCCCGTAAAGGCTCTATAGGGCTCTACAAGGGCTTGACAGGGTTCTACGGCAATGGGGCTTGTTTAGATAGGGTCTTTATCCATGTTCTTGAAAAGCTTCATATAGGTTTTCAATCGGGCAAGGTTAGATAGGGTCCCACCAAGGCTCTTTAGCAAGGACGAAGCCCGCATTGCGGGGTACAGTCGAGAGAACAGTAGTTCAGCGATTCAGCGGCGTGTGGCACACATCGCAAGAAAACTCTACACAGTTTGAAGGTCTCGGGCTTGAAGGGCTCGGAGTGTTGGAATTTAGGGCACGAGGCGTGAAGGGTCTAGGGGTACACATGAGGGTTTCCCAAAATAGGGGACCCTAATTTCGTACCCTGAATGGTAGGATCCTTATTACAAGGACCCCAGAATAAGGTACCCCTTGTTTTCGGAAACTCCCACATGGCAACAGAAGGCTTCCAACTCTCGGCTGTCATGGTTGAAAGCTTGCACCACGACTCTTATCCGGCTTCTCGCTGGCATCTCACAAACCCTAAATTCAGAAAAATTCTGCTTGCAAAAGGCGCTAATCCAGAAACCCATACCATAAACCCGCACTCACACACGCTCAACCTCTAATTTTTGAAGCCTGCATCCTCGCAAAGCCCTGAACTCTAACCCCCGACAATCCCTCAACGATGACTAACAAGAATGCCCTAAATTCCCACTCAAATCCTAAACCCTAAACCCTACAAGCTCTCAAAGCTTTAACTGGCAAGCATCTTGTACTCACCAAGAGCCTGGGAAGCCGCCATCAATGTGCTCTCCAAGAGCACGGCGATGTCAATCTGCAAGTCTTCGGCTTCTCCAGGATCCTGGCTTTTGGGAGCTTTCAGGCTTGCCATTAACGCCTGAAAGGCGGCTGCTTAGTATGACGGAGAGAATCTTCCTCAATGAACAAGCGCTTACTCTTCGGGTTTGGGATTCCCTAAACCCTAAACCGTATCTGGTAGATCTGGAAGGTAGAGAACGCTACGGGTTGAGAAGATTTAAACTTCTCGGGTTGCGAATGGCAGGTACGGGCTTGAGGGCTATAGACTATAGAGTTTTGTTTTTCTGAACGATTGTGCTCCATCCCGCAGTGGTCTAGACAGCAATCGAATTTGAGATTGTACGCGATCGGGATCGAGGTGTAGGACTGGGCTGTATGCTTCTGTATGTATGCACGTATGTATGTATGCACGTATGCATGTATGTATGTATGCGTGTATGTACGTACATGTCGCCATGGAGTTCAATCGCAGGTAGTACGACTCAGCTACAGGATGTATCGTGCTGTCTGGTCTTGCACGCTGCTGTCTTCGAAACCTGCAAACTTAACACTCTCGGCAAACATGCTTCTGCTTCAGGTTCGGGTTTTGGGGGTTTCCGAAAATAGGGGACCGTACTATAGTACCCTAAATAGTAGGACCCTTATTATAAGGACCCCAAAATAAGGTACCCCCTATTTTCGGAAACTCCCTTTTGGGTGGAGTCAAGGATGTGCCATGTCTTTGGGTTCAAGGCGATTCGGGATTGGCGTGACTCGGGCTCTCTGGTGAATGCTAGATGAATGTGAAACAGTCTGTACAGTGTTCCGGTCAGGTTTGCAAACCTGAAGAATTTACTGCCGAAATATCGGTCCCTTGGAAGGCTTTCGACTTCAGGATTTGTCAGGGGTTCCGATGAAAGGTTTTTGCAAACCCCAACTGCTGAGCCCTGAATGCCAAAGCCCGAAAGCCTCAAACACCCTCAAACCTTCAAACCCTCACCCCAAAGCCCCTAAACCCTAAACCCTTCATTGGGAACCAAAAAATCCCAATAGGACTAAGGGGGAGAAGGATTCTGGGACCCTACTAAACCCTAAACCCTACACCCCAAAACCGAATGTTTCATGAGTCAGGCCAGGCTTTCTGTGTCTTGGCAGTCTTTGCTTTAGCAGCAGGGTTTAGGGTTTAGGGTTTAGGGTTTAGGGTTTAATTGGAATACGGTTTTGGGGGCATGTTCTCTTCAAGCATAATATGGCATGCTAACAGATATTTTTACGGCTTCTACATTATTTGAAGAACCGACTAGCTTAAGTCCCATGCAATTCTCAAACCGTGAGGAACGAGAAGTGGTCCTTGCTCCCATCACCGATCTGTTCTGGAGCCATGTCCTTGGATCTAAAGAAGCTAGTCGAAAGGAGGACCGGAAGAGAGATTTGGGCTTAGAGGTCAAGGGTTAAGGGTCTGGTTACGGTGTGGTTTAGTGCGTTTAAGGGTTTCAGCACTCAGAACTGGGATGCCGGGCGTGTTCTGTCGCGTACAGGCGCGGCACTGTTGCCAACTTGAATGGGAACATAACAACTAACTCTCCCAAACACATCTCTCTCTAGTATATGATTCGACGGTGGCCCCATGTCGTGTATCTCAACCTCAACGCGCTCCCGCACAGTCTCACAGCGTTGGTCCCATGGCCCGCCGGCCGGAGGTAACTGAGCACCACACGCATTCCACACTCTCTCTTCGGTGAGCACAAGAGCCCACAACCTACCTTCTTATTTCTCACAGAAAAGCCATGCAGTTTGTCTTTGCACCCAGTTCAGAACCTTCAGGTCACATGAGCACAGAAAATGTGAAGTGCTGTGCTGACATCCACGGGCACAGACCGTACGTCTCACCGGTCAGACCAACATAGCTCCTGCGTATAGTACGGTTAGCGGATTCAATAAGAAATCGTTGGGAGTGAGAAACGAGACCCCGGATTTCTGGGATTTCTTATCCAGGGTCCCAAGCCCTATTCAAATTCCTAATTCCTAACCCCTAAAAACCCTAACCCCCTAAACCCAAACCCGAAATTTTAAACCCCAAACACCCCTAAACCCCTAAACCATACTCATAGATGGAGGTCGGCGCCCGGCGGTTGCAAAAGTTCAATCGCGTGTTGTTTTCGGGGAAACTCTTTGCGAATGCAGTTACAATGACGCGCCGTTGAACTTTTGCCCCACCCTCGGCCAGCCCAGTCCCCGCCCGGATCCAAAGTTCCATGGCGCGCTGTGTCGAAGGAAATCGTTGTGTTTTGAACTTTGGCCCCACCCTCGGACACATTCCTCGCAATGCAAAGTGCTCCGAGCTGTTCAAGCAGCGGCCAAGGCTGGTGGCATAGCTCGAGCTCGCAAACTGCACAGTGGTGGACATGCTCAAAGCATGTTCTGGAGTTCCACCTGCCGACTTGTGCGTGTCCACGTACAGGTCCCGCCAACCGGAGCGTTCAAGTTTGCAATTGTCCTGCAGTTCTGACATTCGGCCCCGTATTCCTTGAGGCAAAGGCATTTTGGGAAGTGCCATTGACCGGATCCTCCAGATCAGGGCCACTCTTCTCCGACCTGCTTAGGCTATTGCACCCTGAAGCCCCCAACCCGACAAGCCCGAAGCTCAATGCTAACCGCAGAAAAGCCGTATAAGGACCTATATACAGAGGCGTGTTTAAAACCCACAACCCAAAAAACGCATCAGACCAATACAGAGAGAGCCTAATAGAGGCCGGCGACAATCCCAAAGTATTGGCTAAAAACTTAAAGCAAGTCTGAACACACCCAGCAATGCTTTCACAACACGACACGAAGGTGTTAAACGCACAGATAAACCTAAGGTTAAGCACCCCCTAACCCCCCCAAAACTCCAAATGCCCAACCAGCTTCTGAGGGATCAATGGAGATGGCGCGAAAATCGTCAGCGACTCGCTCCAGCTTGCAGAGCTTGTCCTCCAACTTACCAGGGACGCCGGCTTCCTGGGAGCTTTGGCTTTCTTCTCTTGTGGATGGGGGCGGTGCTTTTTGTTTTGAGGGGTTTGGCTTGCAGGGTTCTGTTTGAGAGTTTGGTTGTTGAGAGTTTAGGATTCTATCACTCAGTGGTGCTCTTTTCAATGATTTGGGGTTTTTAGGTTCTTTTCGGAGAGTTTAGAGCTCCAGATGGCTTCGGGCCTAGTTTCCGATTCCCGGTGTGTTTTCATAGGCATTGTGGCCTCTCCGAAGTTTGCTGTGAGGGCTTCGGGCTCATGTGCTTTACCGGATGTCGGGGAGACAAGGATCCGGGCATAGGGTTTTGCTTGTGGTTGAATATAGGTCCTTTGAACGGGCCTCAACAATTTGAATAGGGTTTCGGGGTACATTAAACTGTCATTGTGATAAGGAGCCCGAAGTAAAAACATCTCCGTCATCGATTTGTCCTTCACTCCGAGCCTTAAGCCCGGAAGCCCAAAACCTTAAAGCGGTTCAGGGTGTAGGGTTTCGACTCGCGCGCTCACGCAGGCATGGCTGCAAGTCTTGGGATCAACCCACAGCACGTGCTGTAGTGCATCGTTTAAGGTTCTAGGGTCCTAAACCCCGACCTTCATCTGGGTGGCTGTCAAAATTATGGTCCCTTTTTGGGTCCTTATTATAGTACGGCACCTATTATTTTGGGTACCCCAAGGGGGACCATAATTTTGACAACTACCCATCTGTAAACTTCATTTGAGCTTCAGACTTGTAGTAGAGGGCAGCATCGCACAAGAAGGCCGGAAGACGCGAGGCTTCTTGGAGTAGCCGTTCTGAGCCATGGCTTCGGCAGAAGCGCCTCATTTCAGGCTTTTTTAGGTTTGGGGTTGCAAGTCTAGGATTTAAGGTTTGGGGTGTAGTCTGAACCCTGGGTCTACACTGGGTCAACGGGCTTAGTGAGGAGAGAGGACCTTGGGGTTTAGGTCTTTAGCGTTTGCACTGTCGGCTTGTTGAAATATTGATGTTGAGGTATGGTCGTATAACTTGTTCCGCCTCCGCAAACAGCACTTAGAAGCAGGAATCTGATTAACAAGACCCTATATCTACTTCCTAAAATTGGGCATATAGTAGAGCATGAGCGCACTGTACAGAGACTATAATCAGGGGGGGGGGGGG